CACATATAATAAAAAGGGGGTATAGCCGAAGGAGAGATACTCATTAGTACAATACCTCATACTAAAAAAGATGAAAATAATAACAAAAAAGTCATTTTCTTCACTATAGAATATTATGGACAAGAATCTATTGTATTTGCTTCTTGAGTAAAGAAATTCTGTCGTAAATTACTTCCTAACTTAATAACTCAGTTCGCTTTTAAAAAACACATGAGCTTAAAAAGTATCTTTTTAGCAAAACTTAAAGGAATTGATGATGCCAAAAAGAAAAAGAAATTAGTATATTCAATTCCATGTATGAACTGTACAAAGTATATATTGGAGAAACAAGTCGAATGAAAGAAACACGCATGAAAGAACATAAAGCTAAAATAAAAACACTATCACTAGACTCTAAACTCGTAGAACATATTCTAAAATATAAACATAATATTGGTTTTTCTAACACTAAAACATTAGCATTTGAAAGTAATTGGAGAAAACGAGTTATTAAAGAGAGTATCTTAACTAATAGAACACTTGGTAAGTCTATAAATGAAACAAAACATGCTATACAAATAGTCAGTTAAACAACAACCATCATTCATAATAATAATTATGATAACAACAATAATAATAACATTAGTCTTTGTTCCGCATATATTTACTTATCATGCTCACTTATTCTCATGCCTACATAAATATCAATCACTGTCTTTACTATAAGAAACCTCTCGACTTATATAATGTTTTATAAGAAATTTATCATTAATCTATTAAATAACATTAACGTCCACTTCTATCTATATTACCTATTTTCACATCTCTAAAATTACTATTATCGGTGTTGTGGGTGATGTTCTGCCTTAAATCAAGGTCGACACTCCTCGCACTGCATTTATCTTTTCTCTGCATCTTCTGGAGTTAAAACACTCTAGATCTATTCTGGTTAATATTGTAAGAGATGTTCCGCCTTAGAACCGACGTCGACATCCTTCGTATTAATCAGAAAAGTCAATATAAGTTCTCGTCTTTACACGTACATACTTATACATTTATATTTATCTTTATTTGTTTAATATTTATCTTCTTTGTTTTCTTCTTTTCCAATTTATCTTATTTTCGCTTAATCTAACAACAACGACAATATAAAATTTACATAATCATCATACTTCATCTTTACCATCACGTCACGAAATATCAGCAATTTACTTCAATAGCATTATTCAACATCAACATCTCCTATCCTGCTTCTCGACCTCTCTCACCATATCATTCCTGACGATGTGTTCCAGATAAGGACACGAAAGCTCGAATCTCCCCTCTTTTTATTTCTGTTTGAAATAAATATTTAATAAAATGTTATTTGCAGCAGTTAATACTCATATTTGACAGCTTCCCTTCCTCATTTCTTCAAAAACACTTGCCGTAAAACTTCAAACTTTGGTGAAAAATTTCATGCTACAAAGTTGGTCAAAGTTTCTAAATTTCTCCCTAATGTAGTTCCTAGTTTACATTGTATAAACAAAATACATGTCGGTAACACACTGACATGAAAGATCCTTTTGTTTTCGGCTATATTACAAATACTGAATTTTCTTCGGATATTTCGCTAATCAAGACATATGATCAAGATCAAGTTTGTAGTGGTAAGTTAGGACTATCTTGGAAAATAAAGACGTTCTCATACATATTGCAGTACTTCAGAGCTACAACCCAAATACTGTGGTAATACACTGGCACACACGATGCGCACATAACATTATTGAGAGTATCCACTAATTGGGTGCAAAATAGTACACTTGAACACATCAGCCTACAGATCTAGCTTGCTGCTTCGAACTAACCTTAGATACAAACAGTTGTAGGATGAGGGTTTCAGACTCTATTCAAAACCGATCGGATCCAGGCTTGGGTCGAAAGATTTCCTAACCATCTAACCAGGTTACGGGAATTTCCTATTGGTCAAACACGGATTCCAGAACGGGACTGATCCAACGGCTAGTACTCTTTAAATAGAAACCAATTATAAACAGATTTTAACAATAACAGGTCGAGATATCATAAGAAACGTGGAGCATAGTACAAAGATCTCAGAAGACCAGCAGCTATCAGAAATGAGTTGTTTTAATTCATTGGAATTTTTCAATAAATCCCATTCCCAATCGCAAAAATGTTCCGGTAGCTTTTTCTTAAGACACGTTGATCTTATATGGCTATTAATCTAGAGAATGATTTACAAACCAATTCTCACAGCCTGCTCGAAAAACCATCTTTCAAATCTTTAAGTAGCTATGTGTTGTTATTAGCTCGTTCTTAAAAATACACGGTTAATCAACAGAACTAAATCGCAATGAATAAATAACTAGCTAACGTTTAAATAGCTCAAAATTATTATCACCCAGTGCTGAATATCTTTAATTAGTATTTGAGATTCAATAGTTAATCATCAGAAAATAGTCAGAATAAGTAAACAGATAATAAACATTTAAATAGCTGACAATGACTTAAATAGTTATTAGCATTCATTAAATAGGGCTGGAGATTAAATAGTTAATTGGCACAACACAGTCAGATAAATAAATAGCTAGCAAAAATTTAAATAGGTATTGATAGCTTTTAACTAATGCTGAAGAATAACTCATTCGACCCGATGAAACCCACCGATGGGTCTCACTATGTATTTTCAAGATACCAAACAGGAAAGCCCTTTCTCTCCTTGCTCTTAGGCTGTACCTTACACAATACGTGCTTTCTGCTTTACCATAGCTATTTTTCGATCATTTATTTTATAGCGAAATGTTTCTCGTTAAAACAATCAAGACAAAAAAACTTGTCACAATCAGAACAAAAGGTTTTTATTTTTTTTGCTGTTGCCAGGCTTGCTTCTCTTGATTGTTGTTGCCTAATTTTCTCGTAGCAGTCAGCACAGCGTCTTCGAACATCGCGGGCAGAACCTTCTTTTTCTTCAAGCTTGTGATCATCAAGCTTACGTTTTGCTTGGGCAGCTGGTTTCTGTTTCACTCTCGGCTTCAGCTTCTCGAACGAAATACCAAGTCGTAAAGATCGAACAAGACTTTCACGAAAGTGCAGAATGGTTACTTTGCTTGCGGCGTAGTTTTCTTTGTGTATCAAATAGCTATTGACTAGTGCCGTCCCAAAAAGCAATTCAAATGCCACTTTCCGGTACCACTTTATTGACCGCCTGAGATACGTGTAATAGGATGATAGCTGATCAGATAAATCACTACCTAATCTTCCTTCATTGTAATCGAGGGTGTGGGTGAATGTGGGTGTGGGTGTGAGTATGGGGTGGGTGTGGGGGGTGGGATGGGGTGTAGGTGTAGGTGTAGGTGTGGGATCTGGGTGTGGGTGTGGGTGTGGATGTGAGGAATGTGGGTGTTGGTGTGCCGTGTGGGTGTGGGGTCTGGGTGTAGGTGTGGGTGTGGATGTGGGAAATGTGGGTGTGGGTGTGAGTGTGGGGTGTGGTTGTGGATGTGAGGAATGTGGGTGTGGGTGTGGGTGTGGGTGTGCCGTGTGGGTGTGGATGTGGAGTGTACAGGAAAATAACACACCCACACCCACCCCACCCCACCCACACCCACACCCACACCCCACCCACACCCACCCCACCCCACCCACACCCACACCCACACTCCACCCACCCACACCCACACCCACACCCCACCCACACCCTTATAAACGCTCTCTCTAATCTTGTCCGTATGGATTTAAAGTGTGAACATGATTCTATTATTGATAAAAAAATCAGTCCGTTTGCTCGAGCCATAGCGGAGATATTTAGTTTTTTCTTGATATCGTCACTTTTGGGCCATATACAGGGTTGCCCCAAAGTCAGTTTACAAAAATAAAAATTGAATATCTCCATTACAGCTCGAGCAAACAAGTTGATTTTTTTACCAATAATAGAGGCATGTTCAAGCTTCATATTCATAAGGACACGCCTAGAGAGACTCTTTGTTAAGTATCACTATTGATCTCAAATAAAAGAAGTTTTACTTTTTGACAGATAGGAGAAAAAACAATATACTTAACAAAGGGTTTCTCTAGGCATGTCTTTATGGATATAAACTTGGTGCATGCCTCTATCATTGATAAAAAAAATCAGCTCGTTTGCTCGAACCGTAATAGAGATATTTAATTTTTTTTGGGTAAACTGACTTTTGCGCCACCCTGTACAAAAAAGTACGCAACTATCGTAAAGATCGATTAGCTATTCAAATAATCTTGCGTGGCAATCTTTTTCAATATCTGCAAAACCATTCTCATAGCTATGAAAAGGTTACAATAGTTATAAAATAGCGAAAGAAAAATTTAATATTCTTTAAACAGCTATTAGTTTATAAATAGTTATTGGTTTTTATCATTAGCTATGAATTTTTAGTCTCTGTAGTATGTTGAAATGGCTGCGGATTTTTTAATCGGTACGCAAACTGTAAATAGCTATAGGAAATTTACATACATGTAGGTTATTTGAATAGTCATAGAAAACTTCACGTAGCTAATATTAAGTAGATGTATGATCAATAAGTAGCTGTAGGATGATTAAGTAGCTATAAGAGAATATTAAATAGCTGTAGATTGATTAAGTAGCTATAAGAAACCATTAAGTATATATAGGTTGATTAAGTAGCTATTAGCTTTTTTTCAAAAGTATCTCTTTTGAGAAGCTACGGAAAATAACATGTCGTGCCTGTATAGTGCACATACATGATTACAATTTTGCTCACTCAGAATGAATCAAAATGGTAATAGGTCGTTTAAATAAGAGTCAAATAGAAAAACACATATACAGCTAGTAGTAGATTCGAGTTTTTCTAACACATATGTCTGATCACAATGGGGTCTTATTAACTACAACAAGGAATAAATTCGGACACGTCATACGAATTTAAAGTGAAGACTATATACTAGAAAATGGTCTCAACGTAACGTATTTAAACAAGTATCAATTTTACGAAGAGTACTACTAGCATACACTTTAATAAATCCAACATTGATAACTTATGTTTCACTAGGCAGTTCGATGATGTGACTAGTACATGTTTATTTTCAGTTCTGCGCGGTATTTCATCGACATTTTGCAACGAAATAAATAACAGGATCCAAAAAAAAAAGATTTTTTTTGTTAATTAGCCATTGCTTGTTTATCTCTCCGATGCATCGTTAGTGATTCTATCACAATCGTGATGCAATTTACTACTTTACTCCAGTCAGTTTGTGAAAGACTTAAGTCTGATTTCTGTTCAAAAGAGAGACTAGCTTCCGTCTATAATATCTTCGATTATGTCGAGACTTATTTGATTTGAAAAATTCATTCAATTTTTGATCATTTTTTTCTGAAGATAAAACTTGATTTTTACTATGTTCGAAATCATATGAGAAATCAACTGAAAATGTTCATGTCCTTCCTAGCGAAGAGATAATAAAGTAAGAATTTTTTGTTTTTAACTTCAGTTCGAAGAAAATCTACTATCATGTTACCATTATTATGACGAATGAAGAGCAAGCTTCTAAACCAACAAACAGTCTTTTATCATTGATTGAGAATATTTTTACTACTGTACAAAGGAGTGTAATCGTGCAAGATGCTTATGAGGCACGTTATTTTTATATGCTTTATTCAAATGAAATGGGAATCGAATACGACCAGAAAGATGAACTCTTTTTTTCATGCGACTTACTTTTAGTTTTTGGTTTTCTTCGTTAGTACAATACTATTTTCAAACTGACAGATGGCTGACTTGCATTAAGAATAACACGTATTTATTTTTTGTTTCTTCTGAATGATATATGAAGACTCGTGTTATATTTTATCACTATGCTTCTTTCATTAGCTCAAATATTTTATCATTTCAATGACTAATTTCATCTGTTTCTTCGCATAGCATGTATCATAAGCAGTAATTTGCACCGTTGTTTACATATTAAATTTTCTTTTTTATTTACGACATAGTTTCTCGTTCTGTTCAAAATGTCTTTTCTTTTTCTTCTCTTGATAAAAAAATAAGAGAATGGTTTAAACAGTTTCATGAGTGTGTTAATTACTGATTCCACTAATTTACATTTATGTTACTCTTTTATGGTTAGTTGTAGTCTTAAACAATATTACCGAAGACAATTTGATAAGTATTTCTTTGTCTTTTAAAAGCTTTATTAGACGGTGCTAAATTGAATTTATGAAACTTTGATCAACATACGGATTTCTATCATTAGATTTGCTCGATTGAATGGCAGAGACAGATCTGCGTGTGGCCACACTCACAGCTATATCTCCTTTACTTATCCCTAAAAAAACAATCTTAAGTTTATATTATTGAACAACACTGTTTATATTTAAATGAAAATTAGTAGACCAAAAAGAATGATGTTTTTCTTTTCACCCTTCATCAATCACATGTGACGAAAAGAATCTATCGACCTTTTTACGAGAGAAATAAATCAAGCAGAAATATCAAAATAAAAAAAATGCATTCATTATAATTATCTAAGCTTTAAAATTAAATGACAGCTTTTTTCAACTCCATCAAGTTTCAAAATTGAATATAGAATGAAAGAAACATATTAGCAGTGAAGATACGAAATACAATAATACATGATATATTGAGAACAGTGATTTTTACCCTTAGCTAGCGCAGTAATAGGTGTAATCTTCTTTTTTAAAGTTACGTCATTTTCATTTGTTTCTATATGAAGACATCTATATATGATCAGACGTTCATTCCCAAAGCTGTCTCTTTGAATTTTCTTATTTTGAACTGGTTTTTTTTTCTGTCAACTTTGTATGTTTGACTGTAAAAGCATAGTTTCCACAAGTCATTTCAGTGACGAGAAGGTAAAGAATGAAGAGAGAGTCTCCGTCTTTTTTTTCTTCTCGGCCTTCTTTTCACACAAAAAGTACGATAAATAAAATTATTTGATCTATCTATGGTTTCTTTTTAAGGGCTACACTACGTTATAAACAAGGTTACATTTTATCATTTTCTTTCGTAGGTATCGTAATCAAATAATAATCAAACAGTACATATCGATATTTGCTGAAGTAATTAATCGATGTATTTTTATTTCATTAAAAAAAATTTATCATATGAAAAAAACTTGAACAAAGTCCTATGTATCACAGTATAATTTCTGGATAATAATGACACAAAGGATTTTCAGAAGATGGATTACATCCAACTGGCTGCTGATAATACTTCATTGTAGGATCTATAAATAATGGTTTCGTTTGTGCTTTACACAAACGAACTTTTGTGCCACTAGCGCAGACATATTCATTTCGATGCATATAGCCAAAATATCTAAAACGTGCAATTTGATTTCGTGAAACTAATTGAGTAAGAACTAAAGTATGAATAGGTGCATCACCCCATCGATAACGATAAATACCACCATTATGATCAACTTTATGAAGCCAAGCTCGTATCAATGAATGATCTCGAAAAAGAGAAACATTAGCTATAGCAAAATTTGTATAGATAATCGCAAGTGAATAGCTATTGAACCAGCCAGTTTGTGTTTCACGAAAAGCTATTGAAGGTTTCAAACAATGATCTTTGAGAAATGCATGAAAAGTTGACCATAAACCAACAGTATGTATCTTATCGTCTATATTAGCCATAGTAAAAGCATATTGAATGTTTCGTTTTTTCATGATATCAAATGGATCTTCAATAGGTTTTTGTCCATATATATAGGAATGTGTATCAAGTCGCCAATAAAATGAAAATAGCGTTAATAAAGGATGATTTGGCAGCATTAGAGTAAAAAATCGACACATATGAAAATATTTAGGTGACCATTGACGATGAACACGTCCAGCTCGAATTGGACTGCTAGAAAATTTGATACATTCAAAAGCTAATGGAGTATGATTACCTAATGTTTGAGCTAGAAGTTGTTGAATGTGATTAGCACTAAGATCACCTTCATGAAAAATGACAACAGGCCGTGGATTGTTTAATAACAAACGAGATAACTGAGCAAGTGACATCTGAAGTGATTTAAGTTCACCGTATGTAGCCAAATAGGCAATAACACCGAGGTATGATTTTGGAACAATATTTAACCAATTGACACGCCATTCAGTTTCATTATTTTGTCTTTTATATACTGTTCTCCAATGATACCATTGACCAGTGATGCTATTTTGATATTGCCATTCATCTTGACGATCAACTAGTTCATTATTAGGATTTTGAGGAAAACATATCGATGATTGTGCATTGTTCAAGTAAAATTTAGTTATAACAAGACTACACACAATGGTAAAACATGAAATGAGACATAAAAAGCAATATCGAATTGCGTCCTGACGTCGTATACGTCTCATTCAATTTGACAAATTGGAGAGTAATGAGTTGGGCAAGTACAACGACCAAATATTCGTTTGTTCTCCCATTCGCATGTTCGCTTCACAGAATGAAAAAAAATCTATACACATGGTTGGTTACAGAATGAAAGAAAGTACATAAGAATATCAGCCATTTCGCATAAGTGGTAATTGTGCCTACTGAATAGAGGTCGTTCGACTTTGCTCAAGTCAGGATATGTTATAGGAAGAACAGTTTTATGAATTCTGACACAAGTTGTTTAAAAAATGCCGAGCTCCACTTTTCGAACGCTTTAAAAAAGCTCTAGAAATCAGTATGTACTCCAGTAAAACTCTTGATGGAACCATATACCAACAACGGTTCCACAGATTGAACTGAAATTTTTGCAGAACATACGTATATCTTAAAGAGTTCTATTCAGGAAACAATTTTCAATTCGAACAATGAAGTTCAATGTGAACGAATAATGCACATTTTTGTGTAACTTTGGTGCTTCGTAGCTTTTGACTTACGAGAACACATTCGTGACTGATGCGCGTCGGGCCAACTCGCAATTTGTAGGTCACCATGATAGATGGTACCATCATCTACGTGTTATGTAGTGAAGAAAACAAAAAATATCGCAATAGTGGATGATGCCACCAATAAAATGTGAACTTGAGCGCTGTGAATCAGTCGGGAGTATTCCATTGTTAGTCCTCCAGAAATGCATTAAAGAAATAGTTAATATATTGTAACGAAACACTATTGATATATGGTCTACATGCGGTCTATAATAGTTTCTGATAATTGTTTGTTACGATTTGTGGAGTAGAGGTGCAAAACTGTACCGTATATTCTATAACACTCTTTTCCCTTCGTGTTCCATAAAAAGTGTAAAAGATTACATAGAGCTATCGATGTGAAATCCACACTAATACAAATAAGAAAATCTCGTTGTTAGAACTTCAATTTTTTTTCCATGAAATAGTTTTTTTCTTATTGATAATTTGTATAATTAATGTTGTTATAAGTATCATCTGCTTGGAGGAAGACATATATTAGAAAAATCAATATACAAACTATTAATTTTAGTTGAAGTCTATATCAAACCTCAAATCTGCAAAACAGTTAGTAATCTCTAAACTTAGTGTAGGATCGATTCCACAACCTTTGAATTCGAAAGCCGCGATATTGGATTTTTTAATCAGACTTTTCAAAGATAGATATTATGTTAATTAGCGAATGCGTTTATATTACCCTATTCAGTAATAGAATTCTATCGATGTATCGACTAAATCCATGTAAAACATTTGCAGCTGTAAAAACCACATGAGAGACTAGAAAGTCCTACTAGGTGTGTAGGAAGAGAAATAGTCATGAAAACAGCTACACATGTATTCTTGCACAAAGAAATTAATACAGTTTCCAAAAGCATTAGATACAGAGATTATGAGTCCTACATTGAAGTAAGCTTTATTATTCATATTTGAAACCTAAGGAAGGGATTACTGTTGAATTGAATTGTCGATTAATTCGATTTGATTTCGATCTCTGATGTAGATTTTTTTCCTTGTCTTCGCCTACACTCTCTATTATTGTCTGATTTTCTATATGTATCTGTTTCCATAAAATTTCAAAATGATTACATTCAAGATTTAATTGGTTATTGAATGTAATAAATGCATCACTTTTCTTTTTTATAAATAATTTGTTTTTATTTCCATTTTAAATATATTTCATCAAGATTACGTTTAATTGAATAGTCATTAAGCAGTTTTCAGATTCAATCATCTTTTGAATTCTTTGCAATCATTTTCTTGTCTGCTGTTGAAAAATGAAGACACAATAAACCAATAAAAAGAAAAGATTTAATTGTATAACTCATTATAATAAAACGTATAATCAATTCAATATTCACATTATTTGTACATTCGACTTGTAAAAATTCCAAACGTTGACAAAGATTAATGATAAATTGAAGTTGTTTGATTTCTACCAACTTTTCGAGATTTACTTTTTTAATTTTATTATTACTGGATATTGACTGAAGTTTTGATTATGTTTCAGCTGAAATGTTCACTTCTAATAAAGGTAAACAAGACAGATATAATGAATTAAGATTAGGTAAATTGTATATGAGATCAATAACGTAAATCAATATTCAAAGAAGTAATTTGTACTAGTTGAAAATAAAGATTTAATAGTCTCAATAAAAGATTGATATTGTTTGAAATCACAACGATTGGTTGCTATTAGTTCAACATCTCGATAATTCTCTGAATTAATATCAATAGAATTATTTTGTTGGTTCATATGTTCATATAAATGATACCATTTCTTCCTAAACTTCAAAGAGAAAGTAACAAGAACAAACAATTTTTTTTGTGTCGTTACCTGTATGAATGAATCGAATATATTATTCGATTATTAGAAAAAGGTAATGCATCAATTTGAATTTGTAAATATCACTGTCGTTTGATCCAAAACAATGATGTAAATTGATTATTTTGTTGATGATGTGATCCTAATTGAAAAAAATTGGGAATCTTTTCATCATATTCAAAATTCAAATTTGAATAAATTTGGTGGATACTGTAAAATCAATCTTTGCCAACGATTAACATCAAGAAACGTTATGCTATCCGACGTAGTAAAATGTAATACTCTTAATTGAGAGCCAATCTTCTTAATCAACATTTCAAGTTCAGAAAATTGTAAATGACATCCATCAAAATTAACCATATGTTAGATAAGGCAATACAAGTGCTCTTTGCATTTGGATATATGCAGTCGAAGTATATAATTGTTGACAAGTTAAATGACTTAGTTTAGGTGTATATGAAGAGCATAGTAATTAATTCATTGAGAGCTATAATAATATCGATATTTAAATATTCAATAAAACTATATTGTTCATTCGTAGTGATTGATAATGCAATAGACAGTCTTCATGGTCCATAGGACAGCGAATTATATTTTAAAAAAGGTAAACGAAAAATCAATTTATAGATCGTATCAAAAGATTCTAACTCACCAACCACAGAAATATTCAATGAACAAAAACATGGTAAAGAAGCTAATTGTTTAAGAAGTAATTGAAGTTTATGTTCTACAATACCATTGATGACAAGTGATTGTAAACGATTAAATAATGAATTGATAGTGATTAATTTCAAAAATTGTTTGACATCTATAGTAGTTGACAATTTAAGTAAAAACAATGCGAGATTTATTTTTATTGATAATATTCTTACGACAATATTCAATTATTATTTCATATTTAGAATCAATATTAATTTTAAGAGATAGAAAAGATTTAATGAGAAGATTTTGAAAACGAGCATTAAGATTTGCAAATGATTCATATAAATGACATCCATCGAGATAATCAAAAATATTATACAAGATTTCATTAGATAAATCTTCGATAGAATGAATTATTTTTCTAAATCAAATTGGAAATTATACATGAAAACATTAAAGAAAAATTAAAAATTTCTTTCTTTCTCTCTTGCTTACTTGTTCTCATTAGTAATTGCTAAAATGAATAAAAACGAAACAAAATTTATTAAATATTCAAATTATTTTCATCTACTTTGTAATGCATTGTTTTCTTTATTACCTAATTCATGAATATAGATTTGTTGTTGTCTCCTTGAGTTCATAATTTAATGAGGATTGATTATATGATTAAATTAATGCACATAATATGATCAAGTAAATTGTAGACTATATGTCACTTTTTCTGTTTGTCTAGAATTACTTTCATAATCAAAATAAACAACAAAAATCTCATGTGTATATTCTATGTCTGCTTTATTAGTAAACATAGTTAATAATACTTCCTCGTCTGTACTTTTTTGCTATTTGTACCTGAGGTTTGTAACAATTTGTAAATGTCAACTTACGAAAGTAAAAGCGTCGTTGAGTCATTCAATGGTTGAAAAAAAAAGAAGAAAAAAGAATGACGAAAATAATTTTCATCATTTCCACGGAAAAGAATATGCCATGTCAGTCACTCGTCGTCAGAATTACTATACATCTCAAATGATCGATCTGACAGTGTTGTGATAAAGAACTAAAGAAAAATGCTCATGCATCTCATGATTGTTATAGTCACATGGTAGGATGTGGGTGTGAGTGTCGATGAAAAGAGGACTATGACACCCACTGCGCATCCATACTCACACTCACACCCTTCTTTTCTTCATCTTCTCTGATATTTAGCCATCCTCTATATTTATATAGAGATGTGTGTGTTTAGTTTAACAGTCTGTTTACCAACAAAAAGGAAGAAATAAATAAAGTTGTGATTCAAATTTTAACAATCGTTAAAAACCAAGATCTACATGATACGTAGTGTAACATCAGGTAGATCGTTATTTGAGGATGGGGTGTGAATGTAGTATCCATTTGAGGCGCACTCACACTCGCGCATCCTATGTCCGCATTATTCCCTGTAGAAATTTATAGTGGTTAATCAATAACTGAGATCTTTTTTTAAATTTTATTCAAAACTGTTCTCTTATTCTTCGGGCCGTAAGTTTCATATTGCAGCTGAATATAAATTGTTGACATTGTTTAAATTGAAACAGACGTTGAAGTTCAATTTTTAGCGTAGTACAAAATAAGTGTTGGTGAGTGCACATTAAAATATGAAATCAGTTAAGTTCTAGACTCGATGTTGAAAAGAAACCAATTAGACATTAATACAACCGTGATCATTTAAAGTTATCTTTTCCTTTGTATGTAAAAGAAAAGTGGAGAAATCCAATGACAGAGTAAAGAAAATAATTTTTGACCCATTAAAATTATTCAACCATTAACAGAAAATTGTTTCCTTTGTTAATAAATCATCTGGATTACGGATAGTTGCTTTTTAATCAAAATAAGGAATAATATAAATCTTGAAAATTTATTTAAAAGCAGTGAGAACAGTTAATAACAGAACATGGGTCGACTATCAATCTCAGATAAAATCAAATTTAAAAAGTATTGTGTATTATACTGATTTATTCGTCTCACTTTATAGTATTTGTTTATCTTCATTTCAAGGTTTCCTTTTCTTAAGACAAAGTGCTCGAGCAACAAAAATGTGCAATATGTTTTTCATTAAAACAAATTGCAGAACAAAAAAAATTTAAGCATACAATCAAATAGTTTTATTGATGCAAAACTATAGAGAAAAAAATTCAATGTTTGATCAAATAATTTCGGTTTCTATATTTTTGGACAAAATGTTGCTATATAAATACTTGAAGGGCATACTAAAAAATTTAGTTCTGCTGGGTTATTACGTTTAATACGTATTAGATTTTTGTGAGTCTTGTTCGCTTGATGAAAAAAAAATCATCGAATCACTTAAGCAAGTGACTGTTGTAAGTATTATTCATCGTTCATTATTATAGATTAGTAGCGCAGATGCTGAATGCTTCTTTTTAAAATACATCTTACGACTCTCACTTCCTATCAGTGTTTCTTGTTTTAGTATCGGTGGCTAATATATCAGCTCTTAGGCTTTAATTAATATGACTCTTTGCTTTTACATATTTTGTAATTGTAATTGAGAATAAGAGTTTAGCAATTTCTGATCAATCCAAGAAGTCTCCCTTGTTAGGAGATGGATTTGAACTTTTCTTTCTAAGTCGTATAGGAGATTGTATGTTTGTATCAAGGTAAATGAATCCATGATATATAGACCAATTTAAAAATCTAATGTTCGCACCAGAAGAAAAGAGGGATGGATGTAAGCGCAATATCTCGATAACAGTAATAGTTATAGCGACCTGTTGCTTTTACCAATTGAAAGAGAAGAAGTCGGGATATCTTTTTCCCCAATCATGTATGAGATGAAATCCTTTTAAAATTAATCATCTTCAAAAAACATACAAAAGAATGCATGAAAATGATCTGCCATCTAAGTGAAATTTTGAGTTTGATCTTTGATTTAGATAGAGGGACTTCAGATCTATAGTTCAAGATAAAATGTGCTTTGTCACTTTTCATTAAAGTTTCATCACAATGTCAAGCTATTATGATAAAAAGTGTGAAAACTCAATAAAAAATCAACAAAACTCCATTATTTGGCATATAAATGTAAATACATGATTCCATTTGTTTAACCCTAGAATGTAATAAGAGAACCATTTATACTGTATCTTGAATTAGAGATCTGAAGTCTCTCTATCTAAATCAAAGGTCAAACTCAAAATTTCACTTAGATGACAGATCATTTTCATGCATTCTTTTGTATGTTTTTCGAAGATGATTAGTTTTAAAAGGATTTCGTTTCATACATGATCGGAAAAAAAGATATCCCGACTTCTCCTCTTTCAATTGATGGATGTTAATTATATTTGTTATGAAGATTCTCTAGAAAATGGTTAAAAACTATCTTAATAATTTAATATTTTCTATCTAAAACATTTCCACCAATCTGACATTCATAAGAACGAACAAGTACCATTCGTTAATATTACAAATCCTAGATCTTCTCTTCTATAAGACAAAATTATTACAAGAGATCTGAAGGAGAAGATGAAGAAAAAATATAAATGTATTATCTAAAATATGAAAATTACACTCGTAGGTATAAACTCAGTAAATATGTAGAAGATAACAAAAAAGAGATAGGAAAGAATGATAATGCAAGCCTCTTATTAAAAGAAACAGAGAAAACAAAAGCAAGAAGCCCAAACAAATAATTTTTCGTTGTACATTTTTTACTAGAGTATTTTTGAAGACGAAGAGACATTATTTGCAAAATAACCATTCGAACACTACGATATGCAAAAGCTTAAAATATCAATAGCTCAATTTGAAAACAAGAGCGGCGATAAATCGTATAATTTAGAAGTCATTAGAAAGTTAAGTGAACAGGCGGCTAAAGATGGTTCACAAGTTGTAGCTTTTCATGAGTGCTCAATCACTGCATATACATTCGCAAGGAACCTGTCGAAAGAACAAATGCTGGAATTAGCTGAATTTGTTCCGGATGACAAGAGTGTTAAAGAATTAATTGCAATCGCTCAGACATACAATATTGCAATTTTAGCTGATCTATTCGAAAACGATAATACAGATCAAATATTTAAAACGCACATATGTGTCGATAAAAATAGTGTTGTAGCAAAATATAGAAAATTACATCCTTTCATAAATCCAAATGTAACACCAGGTGATCAATATCGTGTATTGGACTTATATGGTTGGAAGTGTACATTTTAATATGTTATGATAACAATATTATAGAATATATACGAGCTACTAATATACTTGGTGCAGACATTATTTTTATGTCTCATGTTACAATGTGCACTCCTTCAACAAGGCCTAAAGCAGGATTTGTTGATCGTAAATTGTGAGAAAATAAAGAAAATGATCCAACATCATTAAGGTTACAGTTTGATGGAATGAAATATAGGTATGGATGAAGATCAGTTAAAATATGGTTGTTCAATGATTATAGATCTATTTGGACATATTATTGCAGAATGTCGAAAACTTGATAATGAAGTAATAATAGCAACCATTGTACCTGAGAAACTTACAAAAGCTGGTGGATACAGATATAAAAAAGCAAGAAGACCTAATCTGTATAGAGATACAGTTGGTCAATCACATAATCTTGAACAAAAGGTATTTTGGCTTAGCCCAGAAGAAAATTAACGTTGATAATGAAAATTAATTATAGGCAATGCAAACAGTTATGTGCTTGTATTCTTCTATTCTTCTACCATTTTATTTATTATCTATTGAAACTTTTCCTGACTTGTTCTGTTAATAAAGAAATCATAGTCCTAAATTCAAGTAAATTTTATCACTGTTCTTTATCCATGGTTGGATAAACACTAAGCGAGTATCTCCAGAAACTTATTGAAATTCCAGCATAGAAGATAAAGGAGATATAGAAGTTAAGAGAGATATTGCATGAACACACGACTACACACACACAGCATCAAACCGATCTTGTGAAATAGTACTCAAAGATCAAAGGTATTCATCACACGAATAGATCGTTTTTGGAAACAATTTCGAGTTGCTCACTGCGTATTGTGAAGAATACCAATAAACATCAATAAACATCAAATTATTCAGTGATATGTTTAAAATAAGAAAAAAAACAAAGCAACAAGCTCTTATTGATTCTTGCTTTCATTTTTCTTCTTGCCAATGATCACTTTCGTGAGATTGTCATTGCTAGTATGCCATAATTTGATCTTCGATATTTATTCTTCGACATTTTTTAAATCAATTTTTTGAGTTTATTGTTCTATTTGTAATGAATTCGTGTGTAGGTGTGGGTATGAATGGATGAAGATGCGGTTCACTTTGTCTTCAACTCACACCCTCAAACATCGAATTCTCTATCGAAGAAACTGAAAATAGCCTTTAAGTTAATTTTGCATTGCTTCACTAATGAATAAAAAAAAACCATCAAATTGTAACTAAGTCAATTGTTACAAGCAATACAAAAACTTTTTGAGAGTAAATAATACACAGGACAATCATATATTTCAACTAAACTATTTTTTATGAGTCTTTTCGTGGTTGGATAAAAGTTGATTAATTAATCGCTCAAACGGTTTCTCTATAAGAATGAACCAAACAATCGATAGAATTAGACATATGGTAAACACTAATACAAGACATATAAGTGTTAAGATATCAATTGAATATTGTTTTGGGTCGAATAACTTCGTATTAGACATAATCAGTTCGAATGCAATTCGAAAATGAAGAACATATATAAGGTAACTTAAATTGGCAATTGGTGTCCAAATAGGAAATGAAAGAAATGATTTGATGCATGAACTATGATAAGGATGAGTAGATGGACATAAAGCAGAGAAAAGAATGAATGCTTGAGATACTACAAATAATTGTCGAATAATTGATATCATAATTGTTAATAGTACATGATTGACTGCATCTGACTCAACTGGCATCACCAATACGAGCATATACAACGAAATCAATGTAAAATATAGATACTTTTTCATTTTTCCATAACGAATAATACTCGAATTTTTCGCATTCATCAAATTCAATGCTAAAACTGATCCAATGATAAAACTTGAATATCGACTGATGACAGGCAGATACATCATTTTCATAAATGGTTTCATTAGACTTGGTTCCACTGGTCGTTCGAATGCAAATGTAACATTGTATTTAGTTATAATCCAATCGAATATTCGTGGTGGCATCAATAATGCCATGGAATTATAATGATAATTAAGTGTCGGTAAATTCATTGTTTGTGGATTGAAAACAAATAATGAATATACAATTGACATAAGAGTGAGTATATATAATGCTGAATAAGTTCTTTGGTAATTAGATGTCGAACTAACAATCATGTACAAAATGATGGGTAGAAGTATATACATTTGCATGTCGACACTGATACTCCAGAGAGGCGCGAAACCGGCTGACCACTGTCCTATATCAACGTAATTTTGATAAAATAACCAGAGACTCATCCAAGCACCTCCTGGCTCACCCAGTAGTAGCATAACGATTGTAATCATTAAAATACCTGGCCAAAAACGACATGCCCGTCTAAATATATAAATCGAATATTCTTTCCAAGTGACGAAAGAATTCTGTTCAATACATTTCAGTGTAAGAAGAAACCCAGATAACATAAAAAATGTTTCCAATGATAATGACAATAATGGTGATAAT